GGCTCGCGGGTGTAACAGGGCCGGTAGAGTTAATGTGGCAGGCGTCAAAGGCGCAGTCAGGTCCGGAGGGAACAAGACAAGCGCTTCCCTGACTGGTCCTGCTGGTGGGAGTAGGGATCCCCCCAGGACCAGCCGTAAGACCGTGTGCGGCTGTGTTGGTGCGGGAAGGGAGGTAGGAGGGGGCCTGACTAGCCAGGGAACGAAGCTCTTTCCTCCCAAGACCGCTCAGACAAGCAGCAGTTTCTCTCCCGGCAAGAGGCTCCACCAGAGAAGCCAGGAAGGAAAAAACCGCCGGCTTTGTAGGACTCAGTCTAAACAACCCACGCTCCCCCCCCACCCATATCCTTCACCGCTGGGAGCAGACGGGGCAGCATCCCCCTCTGTGTCCGCACATCACAAACCCAGCACCTCTCGGCCCGGGGGCCCCGCCCCGCGATTGCTGGGTAAACTGAGGCAGGTCACCTCCCTGCTCTGTGCCTCAGTGTCACCCTCTGCAAAAGGGGGACAGTGGCCCTTGGCCTCCTCTGCAAAGCCCTTGGTGATCAGCCACTCAGCAGTAGGTGGTATCGGCGCAGCGGGCGTCTTTGCGTTCCCCTCGCTCCCAAAGGACGGGGGGGGAGGGGAGGGTCCATTGATACGTTAGTGATTGGGAGGGTGCTGGGATCCTATGGCGCAGGGGGTCCGTAAGACAGAGGAGGAGAATCCGGCCCTGCTGCCTGCACAAGAGCAAAGCCTGAGAGCACCGACGTGACCCGTTTCCCCTGGGAGGTTTCCTGAGTTCGGGGGGAAGCGTCTCCCGCAGGGATCCCGGGCCGGCACATCCTCCCTTTGTCGGTCCCAGGGACGTCCGGGGCAGCCGGGATTTCGTGCAGGCGAGAACGAGCAAGAGCCTCTGGGAATGCGAACTGGGGGGAGGGTCACCCACGTTAGCCTCTTTCCGCTCTGCCAGGGACTCTGCAGCGGCAGCCGGGATTTCGTGCAGGCGAGAACGAGCAAGAGCCTCTGGGAATGCGAACTGGGGGGAGGGTCACCCACGTTAGCCTCTTTCCGCTCTGCCAGGGACTCTGCAGC